AATAATGAACCAAACAATTGAACGAAACATTGTAACATTTGTAATTAAATGAACCTCAAAGAAGAAGAAAAATTCATTAATTATTCTGAATTTCTTGACACCATTTATCACATTCATACTATGACCTAATTATTTGCATTCCACAAAGTATATAATACAAAGGTTCAAGAAAAATTTCAACAAATTATCGGTATAATTAACGAATTTCTCTCATATAATCAATGCAAAAAAAGACTCGTGCATAACGCATGGAATACATAAGTAATTTATCTTAAAAGTTTTTTTTTATTTTCAAAATAAAGTTATAATATTCGTTTTAATCGAGTCAAATTAATGATTTAAAAAATTTTGTATTCTCAAGCTTGTTTAATACAATTTTAATGGGCTGCAATACAAGCATGTTAAGAGCGCGTACATGCATATTGTATATGGTATGCAAGTAAGTATAAAGTTCATTCCATTGCATGACATTTTTTAATTAATCAAATTTAAATTTTCTTATAAACATAATTTTCTTGCTTCAATGATTTCCCCTTGAAAATTTAAAGTGAAAATGTCAGAAAAATGAAAAACAAAAAAACATTTATTCGCTTTATTAAACTCAAGAAAGTCAACATGATTTTATATTAAAAAATTAATGCAAAAAACAAAATTAAAAAGAAAAGAAGAGAAAAATCACAAATAATCGCCATTTTATAGTTAAGAATTTGATTTTTTTTTTTTTTCAGAATAATTTTTCTGCATCATTTCAACGCATTTAAAAACAACTGCATGCATCCAACCATATACATAATTATAACAATGACACCCTCTCTACATATGGAAATGGTAAATCTATATGTAATTAACACAAGAGAGAAAGAAAACAAGCATATATTATTAATTATTTCTGATTTCTAGTTTATTCACCCAAACTACTCTACTTATATTCCACTATAATTTTAATAAATCTTTCTCCACTAGAATAAATGCATATATGCATGTCCTATAGGGAATAAGATAAAATTAATTCCCTTTACCATATTATATGTATGTGTGTATGTATTCACAAATTTATTTTTTAACTCCATATTGAATAGAACAAGGGAAGTATTGTGTTAATACCAAACATCACATTTCGAAAAGTTAAAGTAAAATTTTTACATTTAAATAATTGTTACTAATTTTCTATATACGTCAATTTGTGCATTCCAATTTTAAAGCGTTGGATGAGGCGATTTTAACTAAAAGTTATATGTGAGTTTCACTCAAACATAAATGCAAAAAATTAATGAATTTCTAATGAGATTTAAGCTTTTGTGTAGAATAACAATGTTGAAAATTTTCTAAAAATTTAAAACAAGTTTTGAAACATCTCGGCTTTTTCCACTATTCTTCAACTTCATTGTGATATGAGTAAAGTGAAATACCTTAATCATAATCCATAGTCATAATTCAATCCCATAGTCATTTTCAGAAGCTTTGTAATTATGTTAATCTTTTATATATACAGGCACAAATAATCGTTAATCAATAAATTTGCAATCTAAAGCAAGCAATGTTTTCGATAATGTTCTGTTCTTACCATAAATAATATTTGTCTTATTCACTATAAGTAATCTGTTTACATACACACTACTATTGTTTTATAAGAATATTAAAAAAAAAATTTTATTTTCCCTATCAGTATGCAAAGTTTATGCTATTAAAATATAAGAAAATTTAAATGTGAAAACTTTAAACTGTGAAAAGACCGTTTTTATAATTTCATTGAAGGTAAACCTTTCTATTGAAGGATTATAAAGTAATACGTTTTGAACTAAATTTTATAATTCAAATTTAATTCTATGAGTTATTCTACAATCGTAATAATATTAACGATTTAATACATACGTATCTATATATATATATTTATATACATACTACTTATATATGTGAATAATTAATTATTATGTATGATGAATAATTCATTAAATTTACATATTGTAGTTTTTTCTCAACTTGATTGACGAGATTAATTTAATCCTTGTGTATGCATTTGAAATTTAGTAATTTTAATTTGAAAAATTTAAGGTTGCACTATGTAATATTAAAATTTCTTTTAATGCTTTTGTTCCAGTTACCATTATCAAAATTTTTTTCTTGCACCAATACGATTTTTATTGTTATATAAAAGCAAAAGTGATTGTTTGTCACCGTTTTTGCCTGCAATTCAATATTATATTTATTAATTTTAAATAAGTTTTCACTATAGTGTAATGTTCATTCCAAATACAATATTAATTAAAATGAGAAAAAGCAGTTTTTTAAATGAAACATTCGGTATTCATCTGAGAATTTTTTTTTAAATTCTTTTTCTATTTAAAAACAGAAATGAGATGAGATATTTTGCTTTTATTAATTGTTGGATAACGTTTTCGAAATTAAACTGTTTACATAACTTCTAATAGTTTATAAAACTTCTACAGAAGATATTGCTATTTTATTCTTAAACGTGTTCCAGTTGCCATTAGAAATTTTATAAAAAACTTAGTACGTATAATATGAATGAATCGAATCATTTGGGCAATAATATTTTAAAAATGTTTAAATGGAAAATTAAAATTTGAATAGTGTAGTTTCAAGGTATATTATTTTAAGAAAGACCTTACTCTTTCATAAAAAATGTTGCTAGTGGGAAATTTCTCACTTAAATTTTGTGGCAAAAAAATACTTGCGCCTCTTATTAAGTATATAAATCGCTTTACCTTACAAAAAGTATACGACCGAACATTTAATATTTTTACGATATTTAACAGGCGTATATACAACGGGATTGAATCAAGTATTTTCGTCCGTATTAAATTAAAATCACCATATATAAATATCAAAAATATTTCAATCACTTTTCAAACTTATATAAAATAACCCACAATTGCAATAAAATTAATTGGTAAAATTCACTTTTCGCACTTGAACATTATTTAAATTGTAATTTGTAAATTCAACGAAATTTGTGTAAAAAACATGTTTTAAGATGTGGTCTAACTTTTTTTAAATCAAATAAAATGCACTTGTTGAAATAATTATTTGTTAAAAAGCTATAATTAATTTTATACAAAAACTTTTCTACACAACTCAAATATAATTTCAAAAACACTCCCAAATTATTATTGTTAACAAACCGAAAGTCACGAATTAACATTCATTTCTATTTGGTATTTAAAAATTCTTCTTATAAAGGATAACAAATTTTCATTTTTAATGAACAACACATATTCAATAGTACTCGTATGTGCATCTAATCATGCAATAATGAAAATTTTAAGTGTTGCAAATTTAATTATGCAAATGTTGGCATATATACTAGTACTACGTACATCCACATACATTTATACCAGCATTAAACTCACATAATCCAATAGATATTCATTCATATAATCACAAAAAACAAAAACAACAAAAATTAATTTAGTTTACTAATTAAAAATTCTATTCCTCCCCGAAAAGAAAAACTTTACAGCAAAAATCTTAAAATTATGAAAAATTTTTATTGCCAAAAACATGCACAAGAGAAAATAAGTACATTCAGCACTTGTTGAATTTTGAAGTACATATGAAATTTGGTTTTTGCAAGAGCTTTCCCATTTACAAGAATGAAAAGTACAATTTGAAAAACTAATACACATTATGGTAATAAAAATTTCTTTTTATTATTTAACACATAAAATCTGGGTACTTATTTATCCATGAACATTTTAACACTCTACATACAACATTTGTTGTTAATGAACCAAAAAATTAGACACGTGCTAAAGTAGTAAAAATGTACACGCAATAAAAAGAAATGCAATTATTTCACATTTTAACAATTTCTTGAATTGTAAAATTGCATGATATGTTCGTCTGCTGTGTTTATATAGTATGACTGTAAAATTAAATTTTGTCTGTTAGTATTGTGTCCAACTATTTTATGAAAAGTTTCGTCCCACAAAGAAAGAAATCGATATTTTAAGAGTTAATCTTTTTTGTGAAGAAAAATTTAATTTCTTTAAATCTGCACTACTTACTGTATATGGTATGTAAAATGATCCTCGGACTATAATTGAAATTTCAAAAGATATTAAAAAAAAACAATTATTGCCAAAAATTTTGTTGTACAAGATTTGTTTGCTTTCACATTTAAATTGTAAAAAATTTTTATTGCTTTGTTTAGTTATGAAGAAGTAAAAAATTTTCAGCGATCTCAATCAATTGAATAATACCGACCCTTATGCTGACAAGCTGAATATAAAAGCTAGTTTTTGCAATATTTAAAATTAAATCTTAGCGTTGTATAGGAGCTACCTGATTATATCAAGCTATACTCCCAAAACAGCTAAAATTTCACATAGCTTTAATATTTTTTCAATCATTTAATTGAAGTTCTCGGCTTGTGTGGGGGCTACCTAAACCATAGTACAGTCATTCTATTATAACTTTCAAACGGCTTCTTCAAGTTGTTAGAAACTCATTCTCTTTCAAATTCTTTCTTTTAGATCTTCAAGGAAATATGGAGTTTATTTAGAAAAATTCAGGAATCACAAAAATATTTGACCTGGATGCTTAGTAAAGCTCATTAAATTACGAGCAAATTAACTTTAACTAGTTTTAAACTATAAACTTATTTTAATATTTTTAAGTGTATTGCAGAAATATTATAGTTGGAAGTTTATTGAAATATTAAATTATTTAGTTTGGTAAAATTTTATTTGTTAAATTTACTTGAGAAACTAAAATTATAACATATTAAAATTTTTAATATTTGGCATTAATCTTAGCTTTTATAATTTTAAATGAAAAATAAAAAATTATTGTCACATATAATTACTATAATACTGAAACAATGTGATTTTATAAAAATCACTCCGAATGGCTTTGACAACTGTAATGTATAAAACAATCCCATTATTCCTCAAAAATAGATACATACATAATAGGAGAAGTCATCTTAATTATGTAATCAAAAAAATTATAATTTAAAAATTTGTTATTCTTTACAGTGTCAGATTTCACCGAAACCCTTTCCCATTTGTATGAAGAACATGCAGCCGCACTCCAAACAGTAGTATCTACTTATCGTAAGAAAAATGGAGACCTTAGAAAAGAAAGGTAAATTATTTTAATTGCTCATAAAATTTAAGTCTAATATTCATTCAAGTTTTTATAAGCATATTGTTCGATAGAACACAAGTCATATACTTAGCACATTTCATTATTATAAGAGTTCATACATACGTAATACTTAAATATACATACTTACAACAAGAGCTTACAAATAAAGAAAAAATTATTGTTTTTTAAAAATTAATTCTGTCTGTTGATTTCACTTAGTCTAAAAGCAAAATTACATAATAATTTCACTTTTAACAATTTTAAATAAAAATATTCAAAAAATCCATTTAAAATCATTTTAACTCTCTGTAGTTGTTCTAATAAACTGACAGTATTAAAGGACAAATGTAAAAAAAAAACGAAAAAAAAAGCTTTTTTCTCTTTGAGATTTTTTTAATCTTTGCTTTTGACATTCAAAAATAAAAACAAATCAAGACAAACCTAAAATATCCTTATACCTTCCTGATACACATTAAAATTATGAAAAAGAAAAAAAAATCTTTATTTTGATTGCATTTTAATGTTTTTTACAGACCAATATGTCAATCATCCTTATTTCAAGCATGGGAGACATTCCTTCAGGAAATCGAAGCAGATTCACAAGCATCAAGTGATGTGGCCAGCACTCTATCTCGGCAGGTAAATTTATATGCATGCATACACACAATACATAATAAGTATACATAATATTTTAGGTGGGTGCTTCAAATCTGTAGGATGAAGTAAAATTATATTTTTATGTCAGTTGTCATTATGATTTCATAAAAACGAGATTTTTGTTTTATGAAAATGAAAAAAAATATGAAAATTATAAAACTGATAAGAAAAAAAGAATAAGAAAATTGAAAAAATGAAACAAATTTTTAGTTAAGTACACGCACTTGTAAAAATTTGAACTGATTTTAAGAAAATTGTATAAACCTATTATAAATTGTTGACGTAGATGCAATGTCAAACATACGTCATACAAAAATATGCATATACATATGTACGTATACTAAGTAGCATATTTTACCCATGTATTTAGGTAAATAGGTAGACATGTATTTTCCTAAAATATTACGAAAGCACCACTTTAGACACAGTCTGATTAAAGCAAAGGATGTTATTTACAAATATTATAATAAGACAATACTGTCATTGTGTTTGTTCTGCAGATATCATACAAACATTCATATTGTGTTTGTTCTGCCTATATAGCATGTGGTTTATATGAGAAATTAAAGCTTCACGAAATTTGTGGTATCATACAAACATTCGTCTCAGTTATTCAGATTTTTGATTTCAGAATTTGCATGTTTTTGAAATTAACGTGTTTTAAATTTGATTTGGGTTTTCTTTGAAACTGCGGCTTATTAAACTGAAACTGTTATAGCAATTGCAATTAAAATGTATTGTTTATTTCAAAGTTCGAGTTGTAAATATTAGTCTCAAATATGACAAATAGATTGATTTAAGAATCGAGTAAAAATTTTTTTAATTGGAAAAGAAATTTCTTTGGTTTTGTCTCTCAAACACTAATGGCAACTTTAAGATAAGTTTTAAGTTGATAATTTGGTTTACGAGTATAAGTAAATATGTATTGGTTTATAAAAAATGAACAAATTTTTTAAGTTAATCAACCAATGAGTTGTAAAATACCACGCTTGCTTTTAAAAATTTCATTTTAAAAATTTTAGTTTTTTACAATTAAAAAATCTCAATTCAAAAATTTTGAAAAAGTTGTACATAAGTAACTGGCACAATAATATAATTTTGTTGCTAATTCATTCAAGACATAAGGGTGTACTAATTTTTAGCGGACTCTTATTATACATTCACGCTTTCGTAGAAAGCTAATGAAGCTTGTGGAGTTGAAAAAAACAAATCCACAAATATAACAATTTGCAAAGTTTAAGCAATGATAGTTCGGAAGGAAGAGGATGTATAGGAAAATTTGGTTTTACAAAGAATTGTTAGGAGATCTTATAAGTCCTAATCTTTTCTAATTTACAGAATTTCACGACTTTTAAAAATTATAACATAGCATAAACCATGGTTTCATTAAGATGTATTTGCTTACAAAATTTCAGCTTTCTACTTTTAACGATAAATTTTTTTTTTATTAAATCATATTCAAAAAGACTTACATACATATTCCGTTACTATTAAAAATCTGTACACCCAGCACACATCTCAGAACAGATTTAGCAAACTCGATTCCTTTGATATTTAGACAAAATTTTAAGAATTTGTTATTTCAATAACGTACTTTATACTGGGGAATATAAAAATCTGATATAAGTATCATTATTTCTTTTTTAATTTTGAAAACTTTAAAAGTTTCTTCAAAAACAAATCAAACCTTCAATAATTAAAAGCATGTTCGCTCTTACAATATTAATTAAAATTCATAAACCATATAAATGAACTTTCAACTTTTATAAAATTTTTTAGTTGTATAAATTAATAGTTCAAGGGTTGTAACTTGATTTATAACCTAGATAGTGTATATTAGTCCAATAGGGTATATTATTCTGTGCTATAAGTTGTACAGTTTCTGAGAGTTACATCTTCCCCATCATTCATTTTCATTTATTATAAGATTAACCTTAACAGCACCTTTTAAATTTGCACTTTAGTATTTTCGTTAAAAATTATTTTTCACATTTTAATTTTTTCATTGGAAACTTTTACTGCTGAAATCTTAAAGTTTATATTTTTATTAAAGAGAAATTATTTCATGCTGTATAATATTATGTATGTATACATATATAAATTAATATACACTAATATTGGTTTAAGAATGTAAAGCATTTTACTTGAAAATTATTTATAAAAAGAAAAAAGGATCTGAAGACTCAATTTTTTTCCCTATTTCTTGTTCTTAATTTTTTTCATTTTTTCTTTTCTTCGTCATTTTGTTTTACTATATTATTTACAAAATAATAATTATTTACGTCTGCTATATTGTGTATAAAAAATCTTATAAATACACTACTGGTCACGTAAGCAGAAGTATTTCAAGTCAAGCAGAAATGCAAAAGTTTTTACTTTCCACAAGACTTTCTGACACAAAAGAACTACATACATAATTGTGATGAAGTAAAATTTTAACTATTTATTATATTCGCAAAACCAGCTTCCGACAAATTGCAACAATGCTACTTATAATTTATTGGCTATTTATAATTTGTTACTTATAAGTCAGCTTTATACTGCCATGTGAGGCTTGCAATTGAGACAGCATTTTATAAATTAATTACCTTAATATCAAAATAATTATATTCTATGTCGCAAGGTTTTCCAAAAATTTGTTGAGTTGTTAAAATATTATATTGATAGCTAGTTAAAAAATTTTAAGTGCCACAAATGTAAATTTTGCTCCCATTTTGTGAAAATAACATGAAGAAATATTTAAGGATAGAAAAACTTATTATACTAAACTTATTATAATAATTAAGACTAAGAAATTTAAGTTTTAAAAAAAGCAGCTATTAAATAAATATTTGCAACGCTGATTATTTTATATTTTTCAATATTTTATAGGTTAATCGTTTCCAAAAACAAAAATTATTTTAAAATTAAAGAAACGTGTAAAAAATTTCATATTTCATTTAATTCAGATTAATCCATTTTTGGATAATCCGTTATGCCAAGCAATTTATGGCGGTTAGCAACTTAATATTAAGCAGTTTTATTACACAAAATAAAACTTATGACTTCATTCTTAACTCTGTAAGAATTGTAGGCTCTCCGCTTCCGATAACTTAAAAATTAAAATTTTATCCTGTTTCATAGTGCTTATACACAATATTAAATTATTTTTCCAGAATTTTTTGCATAAAATTTGTAATATTTTTGCTACTAGAATAAGTTCGGATAAGAAAAATTTAACAGAAATTACCTTGCGTACATACACATATACAATGAGACACGATTATATAAATGCGGTTAAAATGTAAATCACTGTGATGTTTACTTTATTTTGAAGCCCGAAATTTTTCGGTTTTTTGGCGATCAACGATGATTTCGTGGCCAATCAGTGTGAGCTTAATCAAGATTTAATCATGATATAATCATGAGTTTAATCAGGGCCTTACTTTAAAATCATGTACAAAAGTAATAATTCTTCAATTTTTCATTATTCAAAATTAGGTTGCTGAATAATTGGCAGCTGCTTATCTAGCAAGAGTATGTATAATAAAAGTACTCCTTTTCTTAAGCAACAGTTAACCTAAGAATGCATAGCTTAATCAACTGCGAACTTAACATAATACGAATAAGAAAAATAAGTTTCGTTACAATTTCACAACTCATCTTTTAATATTGCAATAAATTTCGAATAATAAATTTTTAAGTAAATCGACTAATAAATTTTACCAACTATACTTTAGGAAATTTAACATTTTCCAGAATATTTCCTTTTTCCTGGTAAAACACAAAAAAAATGAATGTCCATTTAATGTTTCCACCGTAAAGTACAAATGTAAAGTGCACAATTTAAAAAATGAAGCATTCAATACTATTTGGTATACTTTTTTTTTAGACTAACAAAAGAAAAATCCTTTTTAAAGTTGATGTAAAAAAAAAGTCCTCTTAAAGTATAAAAACAAAATTCCATTTTTTTATGATAATTCGGTTTTGGTTATAAAAAATTCATGAGCCCAACTCGTTTTTTTTTTTAATTTATTTGCTAAAAATTTCCCAATATTTTTGAAAAAAGCAAGTTAAAAAATTATTCGACACCATACTCGTAACTTTTAAGCCCAGAACCACTAAAATTTATTCACAAAAAAAAAGAAAATAATAAAAATTGTAAAAAAAATCAGTAAAAAAAATAAAGGACTACAAAGTTTTCCCTTGTAGCAATAAGCTTCATACAACATAAAAAGAATGCAGTACCTACATACATATATACATATTTACCGTAATATATTCCTACATTTTGAAGATCCTCTACAAAGGAAGATGCAAAAAAAATTTTTGAAAATGCATACACTTTTTTCATTAAAGCGTAAACTTTTAAAACTTTTTTCTGCTAAATTTTAATACAAGCATTTTTAACTATTACACGAGAAAAATTAATATCGTGTTTTTTAAAATCAAATAATGGAAAAAAATTATACATATGTATATGTGCTTACATGATAATTAAATATTTAAAGTTTTAATAAGATAAGGTTGTAGGTTTGTAAGTATGTACAGTTACAACAAAATTCCTTCCAACAATACAACATATTCGGGCTCCTAATTCCATTTTGATTTTATTTTAAAATGCTTTTATTATTACACTTTATTCATACACTCATTTAAAGATATTCACCGAAAAATATAATTTTTCAATAAGAAATTAAAAAGTTTTGAACAAAAATAAAATTTTATATTTCTTATGCACTTTAAAAATCACTCAAACATTTTAGCGACAGATAATCGTTAAATTTATTTTCTTGGGCAATAAAATGTAGTAGTGGAGAACCTATAGAAGACACTATCGATACTCCAAATATCGTAACTTTCTTTATTTTAAAATCGATATACCATCAACAAAAAAACCACAAGTTAATATCATGTTACTAATGTTACATTAGTTATTCTTTCCTTACGTTTACGATAAAAATAAGACGCCATTTACATTTGCATTACTATTGCACATTTATACAAGAAGCTGTCATTATTTGAATTTGTTTCTAATGAAGACACTTATGTGTATTGTTATGAAAATGTCATTGGTATTGCTACTACAAAAAATCGCTTGTAATAAATTGAATTCGTTCCATCCATTTGCAATACTACATTCTTATTATTTATTCTATTTCTTTTTTGTCTGTAAATTCATTTCAAAATTGTTGTTCTTATTTAAAATTAAAAATATTGCCAAATAATACAATTTCTTTCATAAACGAAATTTAATTTGAAATCAATTTAAAACAAATAACTGATTTCGGAAAACGTTGTGAACGGTGTCGGCTGCCACGCGTTTTAATAAGGCTCTTAATTTTTTATCCAAATATAGGAGTGAAAGTTTGAAAGCATTTTGGAAAAATAGCATTTCGACAGCAATTTCTTTTTTTTGAAAATTAACATTTCTTTTCTATTACTATTTGTATAAACAAGTTAATGGACGCCTGAAAATTTGTATAGAAAAATAAAATTTAAAGTTTTCTTAACATATGTCGATGAAACAAACTAAAAAATTGTTATTTTTGTTTTGGTGATTCCAAATTATTACGCTAAAGCTCCCTCTACTATTCCTTTGAGACGAAATTCTACTAAAAAACAAGTTGAAAATAACAATCCCAATCAAACCAAATCTGATGATGAGTGTTTACATATACATACATACGACATCCAACAGACTCTGATTAAATCATAAATATTGTGGTATATGTAAACTGTTTTAGTTTTGAACAGCGATCAGCTAATTTTTATTTTGGTCGCATTTTTAATGAAAAATTGGAGAAATCTTAACGCTATGTCTGGCCTCTATCAGATCGTTTTGTCTGATATGCAGGTAGTCATCTTATTTTGTAAAAAAAGCGATTTTATAATTTTGAAAAAAAAAATGTTGAAGATTTTACATATATACTCGTATATTTAAGCATAAGTTTACAATTATTTGTAATAAAAATTATATAATGTATAAAAAATTATAACAGAGAAGTATTAAGAATTACTAGAAAATAAGAGAAAAGTATTAACTTTTTTTTTGATTATTAGTTTATCGACTTTAATTCCTCACAAATACTAGGAAAAAAAATAAAATTTATTGTAATAATAAAATTTTCTAAAAATGCAAAATTGAAAATGTAAAAATAATACAAAATTAAATGGCTTCAAGTGCCGAGTTTTCGCTACTGCATGTAAACGTGCTGCATATTAAGATCTCCATTCTATTTAGCGATTCAAATAAGAATTTTAATAAATTTTGCAATTTTTTTGTTTTCTTTAAAATGATAATCCAAAATGCTTCGTTGTAATTCATCAAAACTCATTTGTACAACCTATTTTCTAAACATTTTTCTTAATAATCTTTTCACTTTTGAAATTCTTAATTTTAATAGCAAAAACATTTTGTTTGAAGCTCCAATTAGATATCTTATTTAAGTGTACCTACTTACTTTGACGATAATATCATGTATGTATGTGTCTGTGAATAAATATATCTGGTATAACATTAATTTTTAACTTATATATAAATGTAGCTATAACTTCAACTTAAATACATAAAGCTATTTGAATAAATATATATATTTTATATGTTTTATTAATAACATAATTTCTTTCAGGTATCACGGCCAATGCTTGACAGATCATTTCATCGCAAAGTTCAAAGTAGAAAAATATTTACACACAGGGAGTCCTTTGAGACTATTATCGCAAAGACTGAAGATAAATTATCAAAGGTATGTATATTTTTCACTAACAATATTTTGTACGTTTCCCTTCAATTATAAATTTAATATTTTAAAACATTTTCTCTTTGTGTAACATATTGTAGATCCTAATAAAAGAAAACAATAAACTTTAGGTTGGTAGTATCAAGTAGATCATGAAACGACTCCAGCATAATAAGAAATAGTTGTCGTATATTCTGGTATTTTTTTTATTGCATTGAACAATAATGTCAAAAACCAAGATCTAGATAGTATCATAAACTCTTCGGCCTGAGTTTTGAAATTTTAGCACAATATGTATGTTGCTACACGATCTGGTTTGAATTGCCAAACACTTATTGCGTAACTTCAGTTATGAACGCGATTTCATAAATACAGACATAGATGAAGAAATATTGAAAAAGTTATTTTGAATAAAAAAGTTTCAATGAAAATGTCAAATTTTTTTATGTTTTAACGTTTCATGTAATGTAATTCAATTCTTATTTGGTGGAGCCAAAAAGCAATGGTCAATAGTTTTTTTTTGTAAATTAGTTCCTCTACCTCCTATTTCTTATTGTATTATATGGTGCATAAATGCTTTTTATAAATTTAGGTATAAAGTGATAAGGTATTAAGCATGCAATATCGAAAATAATCCTATGTACTACAAAATGTGCAATCGAAAAATTTACAATGTCGGGTTTAATTTTTTTATTACAAGCGGTTGAAATTCTTTATTTTATAATATAAGAAAATATATTTTTTTGTTCTAGACCTTGCTTTTGATAACTGTCTTAATAAAAGTTTAATTGATATTTGCATAAAATGTTAAAAGTATTTAAAATAATGTTTTAGTTTCAATAAATGAAACGTATCAACCATTGATTCAAAGCTCTTATGGAAATATAAGTATTGATAGATGCCTGCTAAGTGCCTAACTATTTTAGATATAAATTGGCATTTCTTTTCAATTCCTTTCATTTAGACTGTTGACTGAACACAATTAGGTCGCACTACAAAGCGAGAATATGATAATTGAAACATAAACTCATTGTGTTTTCAGCCTAAATCCTAAATTGTTTTCAATTAGTCGACTAATTTGAATCGACTAGCAATTTACTTATAATGTCAAAAATTTAAATTTTTTGCCGCAAGATAGTGTTTTTTTTTTCTTGTCAAAAAAAGTAGGAAGAAATATCAATTGGTGCTATTTTTTTAATTAATTATTTTTTATTGTTTTACTGCGCATTAAATAGAATATTTACAATAGATTTGTTAATACTTGTGTGAGCTACGCTTTTATTAAACTTTTAAATATGTCTGCAGTGTCGCATGGACTATAAGCAAGCTTATGTGGCGCATCGCCAGAATCCAACGCAACATACTTTAGCGGAATATATCGATGCACATAATGCATATGTGCAACAACTGCATTCAACAAATGCTATGCTAGAAACATATCATTGTGAAACAATACCACAATTAATGCAGGAATTAGAAGAAATTTATGGTGATTTATGCAGTATAGTTGCTGAAGCTGTTTTGCAGGGTGCTGATGTTATTTCGAGTAAGGTAAGATGTACTTACATACATACATAATTACCTCTTTGTTTTTACCAATTATTCCCTCGCAGTAGAATACATTGAAATACAAGAATATATTTTTGTCTATAACAAAAAGGACCTTATTCTTCTTCACAATATGTACATATATACGTATATAAAAAGTTCACCGTTATATATGTATATTCTTTAAAAAAATCTAATGAATGAAAGTTAAATTTGTGTATAATCTACGTGCTATGAATTATGAATGTTACATTATACATAAATGGTATATGAGTACATACATACATACATTTTTGGTAGAAATTAGAAAATTCAATGATAAAATACCAATAACATTTTATTGAATATATCCTAACTATGATTGAGCACTACGTATGTACATATATATTATGATGTTTGCAAATTTTTTCTAGAAAGGTACATAAATTTTAAATCTGGTTTTAGTGCAAATTCAGAAAGTAAAGAAAATTGAAAACAAAATTTAAAATATGTAGGTGGGTAGGTACTTAAAGTTTATGAAAGGTTTAAGAATATTGCATCAGTAACAGGTGTATAAAGTTGGAGAAAAAATTCCTGTCAACAAAAAAATTTATATAATTAAAAAATTTAAAATTTTAAATAGGTTTGTGTAGTTCAAACAAACCTCGTTATCAGAAATTCATATAGGTATCTAAGATTTAAAATATAGTTTATTGTTGTGTACAAGTACCTACAAACTAGTTAGTTTTCTGTTACTATTAGTTTTCTGTTGGATCCAAGTAATATTTTAGAGTTAAAATTATTTATGCATTACAAAATCATTGTTAGTTTTTAGCATAAACTTTTTGTGGGAAAGTCTACACGGATATCGTTTTTTTATATTCTGAATAATATTATAGGTTTCTACTTTAAAAATTTTAAATCAATTTAAAAAATAAAAGATATACATAAGCTTATAACGAATATAAAGTTAAATTAGTATTCAAGTATTTTATAATCCAACTTTAAATCAATTCCGCTGTTCATCCAATTGATTGAATAATTGAACTAAAATTTTATTTCATCGAGTTTTCAATTAGATGTAATAAATATAGAATGAATATGACAACAAATATATATGTGTATTTATTATATATATTTAATATATTAGTATTATGTTGGTTATACTTTGCCCTGATTAGTATAACTAACCAGAGCAATGGTTTATATTATAATAATTAATTATAATATATCTGAACAATATTTGTTTTACATTTTTCAACTCTTTTGTTTTTTTTGTTCTTGATTTTAAAAAGTATGTTAATCACGTTTAGTGATAGCATACTTCACGAGTTCAAGATCTAAGACATGGTTGAATAACTGATTTGGAGTTTTACTTTTTTAACTTGAAATAATTTACATTAAACTGATTTCTTACCATTGTAGGCATTTTTTAAATCAAAATCTAATATTTTACTTCGTATAATTTTTGTATTGCAAGCTACAATTTTTTATAATAATTTTATAATATTCATAGAAAGTATTGTAATCAAACCAAATTTCACATGCCGAATTTTGAATCGTGTAAAACAATATTGTTGACAACCTTGAAATGCTACATTTCTGTCTCAGTTAGAAATAGACGTGTACCAAGGCCTAGCTTTGCATTCTTGGATGTACATGTTTCAATAATACTCTACTTTAAATCTTGAAAATTACACACGTTTTCAGCTTTCGTTTAATTTTTTCGTCATAAAATTAAGAAAATTCATTGATATTTGTATATATCTACATGAGTATGTACTTAAAAATAATGTGGGAGTTATATTTTATGTTTGGTCATGTGCTGATCCCATCAGATTTCGGTTATTTTTGTACATATTATGTGTATATAATTTTGTTCCATTTAATTTCGTTAAATGTTTTTTAACATGTAATATTCTTCACAAGGGATTAATTTTAAACATGACTTTTTTACGAATTAAAATTAAATTTTAAAATACATATTATGTAAGTCTTTACAACATTTTGAAAAAAAATTACAACAACTTAATTAACATTGGATAAATTAAATATGCGGTTAAATTCAAATTGTTTGTATATGTTATACATGCATATATTTAACGATCTTGTAGTTATATTTTATTTAAAAATTAAATTAAAAGCTTTAGAGGTTTCAAAACGCAATGTTTTTAATAAATGTGAATTTTTTTAAAATTATTAATTATTTAGGTAATCAATTTTCAAAAAGGATGTAAATGCTAATTATTGTTTATTTTAAATTTTTAGCACTAGTTTTTCATAGAATTTTCATTTGGCATAATTCGTAATAATTGGCGAAAATCCTACATTAATAAATAGGATACGTAAATTTTGAGAAGGAGAAAGCAATATATTCAAAAAATTCTAAAGTAAATTTTGTCATTCATTTTAATTAAAACAAAAATAAGATTGACATTTGTTCTTACGTAGTCTGACGACAAGTTTTAATTAAAATAATTAAAATTATAATTCTTGCAAGGAATATAATGGTCGCCTTACAAGTATTAAACAATTACGAGTAATATGAAAGCGACTGAGTGCATATAATTTTTTATACATATTTTTACACTTAATCTCAAAGGTTATCTTTACTCAATCAACCCCTACAAAAAATATGATTGCAATACATAATATGTAAACAGATTTTAGAACAGTATAAACAAAGTTTTTATTACCTAAAAATATAAGTAAAAATATGGTAATATTTTTATATTGTTACAAATGTTTCCATCCAATTGTGCCTTTAATAAATATTAAAGTTTCAGATAAATTTTTATTGTATACCTACGTAATATGCCTTCCTATAATAATTGCTACCTTAATCATACAAATAACCCCCAGTATATATATACCAATTTGGACTAAACCGCATATTTTACTGCATTACTACTATTTCTATATCCTTAGTACTTGATTTTACTTTAAATGTGGTTATTATATCGTTGCAAGAAATCGTTAAAAATAACCATAACATTAAATTTCATGCCGCAATCAGAAAAAGGATTGTGCTTTTGTAACAGTGAAATGTTTATTATTGGTCATTAAAATGTAACTTTCCTGTCGTTTCTTTTTTATTATTTTTTTTTCTATGTCTTCCTTTATTGACATAAAGACTTTTTAATTAAAATTGTAATAAAATAGGGAGTCGATCGAAGAAGGAAACTAAATAACCATTAATGATTGTAAAATCAATAACATATTTATTTTACAATCGCATATTTTCATTTGTATATGTGCTCTATATTTTTATTAGATAATAATGTTATGATAATGCAACATTCCTTACCTTTTATATTGTATTTTTCAGGCTGTTGAACAAGCAAAACGTTATAATAGTTTATCTAGTCAATGCCATTCAATATCAGCACAACAAGATCTCACAAATTTGGTACGAATACTACCAGCAAATCCAACAAAAGTTCCTAAACGTGCATTTGTACCACCACAACCACCTACAGAAGGAGATGAAAATGTTGAAGTAAGAATATGTATACAGTAATATTTTTCAAAACAAAGTTAATGTATATAAAAGAAAAAGAAAAGAAAATCATGAAAAATATTGTATTTTCCCGTGATGAAAATTCATTGTTCTTATATTGTTTTCTTATGTTTTTAGGAAAATTTATTACCACCTCTTAAGGATGAATTGGTGATTGATCGACATACTTCAATGCAATTACGTTCAACTTTGGAGTCATTGAAACGAGAAGCAGCAGATTTAGAAATACAAATAAGGCAATTACAGGTATGACAAACAAAACAAAAACAAAAGAAGATGGAAAGAAAAATTAAAATGTCAATAAACTCCTCTCTAAATTGTCAAATCAATTGAAAGAAGCTTTAAAAAAAAATGTTTTTATAGCATAGAAAATTGATAAAAGGATATACGAATTTTTTTAACAGATTGATAGCTATTTTATATACTTTAAAATAGTTTATATGGTAAAGGATTTAAAGTGATTTATTAGAATCATAGAAAAAGAGATAAAGAAGAAACTGAATAGCAGTTAAATATAATTCCCTTCTATTAAAAGCGTTTCTCCACAATTTTAAAATACGTAAGAAGATACTCATTTGTTACGTAAGAAAGTTTACGCTACATAGTAAGAGTACAAAAATTTTAACTTAAATTTAAGTGATAGGAAAATAACATATAGTGCATTTGTACTTAAAGTAAAATTATTTGACTATCCTAGAATTCCAGCTTAGTTTAGTCTCTACTGTTTCATCGTATTATTTTTTCGTTATTTTTGTTAGGAAGGCGGTGAACAGCAACGGCGGACAATTTTTCATTGTTACTCGAGAAAATTGGCGAAAAGATAAGATCAACTGTTCAGTATTTTGCATATAATGTCACACACGTGGAAACATGATGTCAAAAAAAAAAACCTCCAGCGGTAAAATAGAATTTTACGCTATTTTATCGCTATTAGTGAGATCCAGGGCGTTAATTTTGCTTCATTTTTAACAATCCCATTTATATATGTATACGTTCTTTCTCTGTTTTCAACTTAAATCAAGCAATTAAAACTAATGACAACTATAAAAAAGTTTTAAATAGTATATTTGTCCTTATTTCATTAAAATTTATCTTCTAATAATTATTAGCAATAAAAAGCTGAGGCAGCCGAGCTTGCTTTTTCTCATACATACTTCAAACCTAAAATGTTATTTTAAATTCCCCATCATACTGGATTTAAATATACAAAATATTATATTATATTTTAATGCTATATTATAAAAAGCGAAAAATTTTAATCAAACATTTTCTTGCTCCAAGTTTTAATTTAAATTTCGAAAACAAATTTTTAGTTCAATTATTTAAATTGTGCTTCATATTTAAATAGAAATTAATACAGCTAATTTAATTTTCCATTAATATTTTAAATTTACTTTTGTCTTATTTAACTTCGCTTATATACAGATATTTAATTATATTTGCAGTTATATCACAAAATTATTATAGACTTTTGTATATTGCTACTTACATTTTATACAAGTCAAAAAATTTAAGAATTTCTATAAATTTATCATTCTATAATGTGTATATAATATGTGCGACAATAGGTGAATGTATAACTATGATTATGTGTAACGTGTACATTAGTAAAACGAACGATCTATGCTTGAAGAATTTTATAAAAGTTATTTCTGAAGAAATCTAAAAGTTTTTAAGTTTCCTAAAAGTTAATTTTTATAAATCACAATAGATTTTTTTGGTTTTTTTTCTATATATTTTTCAACTCATAATTAATTCAATTTTTAATTATTTAATTTTTATATATTTTTTTCTTTTTTGTGTTCTGTTGATCTCTGGTTTTTTTTTGTTTCGTTGTATATATTGATTTTAAGAGATTTCCTTGTACACAATTTCAAATAACGTATAAGAGGAATCATCATTTTCTTCTTTAATATTTTATTAAAAATTAAAAGAAATTTTTTTTTTTGTTAAGGACATAACATATAAATTCCGTTGTTTAAAGGATGTAGTTCTATTCTTATATTTTCTAATTCCTAGCATGATACTTACAAACAAAGTGTCTTCTTTTTCCTATTAAAGAAAATGTTTCATATTATACACCTGGTGACATTTATGTCAATTATAATTAACCGAAAGAGAAAATGTATTTTTTTCTTTTCCATGTTTTTGTTCCGTTAATTATGTAAGATCTACAATGTCTGAGATACATGTATGTCTGTAACAATACTATACGTCAAACATTTAACAGAGATGTAAGTACATGTATGTATGTATTTACAAAATGAAAAAGTTGAAAAATATACAAAATATCCATTATCTTTTTTCTACTTATATTTATACATATGTACATATATATGCATATCATATTATATTTTCAAAGTATGTGCAAAATTAAGTAGATTTTTAATTGATTTAAGTTCTATTAAAGAAAAATAACATCGCGTAATAGGTTCTTATGAAAGAGCTCCTTGTGCTATTATACTTAAAAGTATTTACAATCTATATGTATGGATATATTCGATATACATATAATTTTGCTACTGTGATTATTTTTTTTTTCAATATTTTATATCGTTAAATATTTATTTTATTTCCCCATTTGTAATTTTAAAGATCTTATATAGAAGATGTACTGCTTCTGTTTTCTTAGTTATTTTTTGTTTTTTATTTTTCCTATTCTTTCAGGACTCAGTTGATACATTGGTACGAACACAAATGCGTGGTATCGAGAATCAATTATACAATAAAGCGAATGAATTACAAGAAGATTTATCAATGAAGAAATTTGATTTACGTGCTAAACAACTTCATCTTTCAGCTATAAGATCACAGGTAAGTAATATTGTTAGCGTTTATTTTTAATTTTCTTTTGTGTGATAAAATATATTTTACTTTTTGTGTAATTGATAAAATGAAAAGAGGTGAATGTATTAATTTTCACCTTTTAAAGAGAAAAAATAAAAATGATGAAGCGATCTTAATTGTAAAATTGCAAAAGACGTTTATAAATTTTCTATTGAATTAAAAAAAAATCAAAACAAAAGGTTTCTAAAGAAAAAATAACATTATAGAAAATTAAAAAAAATATCAGTTTGGCTAATGTATAACCAATCGAATTATATAAATATTTTTCAAAGCAGTTGTTTATTTCTCAAAGCAGTAATTGCAAGTGTTGCTTATTACACTTGCTGCGAGATATATTTAGAACATGTTATGTATTAACAAATTTGCGCTTGGTAAAAATTTATTTCGTGGACCTTGTTTAATCAAAATGTTTACTAGTTCGCTTTATATTGGCAAAAAGGAAATGAAATATAAGATTTTAAAATTGGCAGCGCAAACCGACTCCCGCTTTTGAGTCTACCATTGTTACATTTTATTGCATGATTTGCTAGCTATTTTAAAGTAATATTTAATGATTGATGGCGTTAATATTTTTATAACTGAATATTAATGTAATGTAAATTTTTTTAAGCTGTAGCAGTCTATACACACAATAGATTATTTGAGAAATAAAAACTACGGGCATTTATTTCGATATAGACTCAGTTTTCATATCGAAATTTACAGTTTATTCCTTGATATTTAATCTCTGTATTGATGGTTTTATTTTTGTATATTGAAACTTTACTTTGCTGTTTTATATAAATAGAACGCGAAATTAAATAAGTTAAAGCTGCTTCCTTTTAAAATTCATACTTTATATGTCACAGCGTTTTTGTGGCTTCAAATTATTAATCTTCATTATTTAAATGAATTTATAATTCCTGGAACCTTTGTGTAAAAATTTCGGGATAAATTTTACTTAATAATGTTCTCTAAAAACACTTACGCCAAAATGTAGTCGGTATTGTTCTCGAAGAAAAACTTTTCATATTAAGTAAATCACTTAATAAGATTATCATAATATTACAAATTAAAATATGAGAAAAACAATATAAATTTAATGGGATTTTGTATTGTATAGATTAGTTCTATTGAGAAAATCATTATAAAATTTCTGTACTTTTATATTTTGAATTTTATAAAATCTTATTAAACTTCAATTTATATTTATTTTATTAAAATTTTGTAAAGAATATTGGTTTTCGTTAGTCTAGCAAGATAAGGCTAAAGTGTTCTATATAATAAACTATTTTTTAAATTTAACTAATATTAATATGGTGTGTAAATTGTTCATATATTGTCTTGAATGCTAACACTAAAATCTGTTATTGATTCAGTATTATGTTTAGATATTCAAATTAATTCATGATAAATTTAAATTAAATTAATCTGGTAATTTTACAAAGACAGGTACTGCGTTTTTAAGAGAACCGCACCTATTCATAAATTGAGCTTAAGATTATTAAATACACTGAATTACTAATCCAACGTCTAGTTGTCTAATTAATAAGTATAGTGACTATTACACTAATAATATTAACTTAATGGAAATTTCTTCATATTTAATTTTTACTAATAGTAAATCAGCAATTTCAGCTTTATGAACTTTAACAAATTTGAAATGTTAAAATACAAGTAGAGTAGACGAAGCTCAAATTTCATTTAACCATAAGTTGGTCATACCTGGTAATACGTAATATATCTTTTTTGCTACATCCAATTATTTCGCTTTCTAGAAAAATTTTGCAAGTATAAAGGTAAAAAACGTATAAATGCAGCACAGTTTAAATGTTGTTTTCTAAATATCTATTGTGATGTGCAATAAATTGAAAGACACTCAGTTCATAAAGAAAATTTTAAATTTTTATAAATTAAAATTAGAGACAAAAATTTCCAATTTAATCAACGAAGAATAATTTTCCATTAGTTTTTAAAAATAAAATATAAGAACAAATCAATCTACTTTTGGTATTTTAAAATTTCAAACTTTTTTTTCCACATTATCAAAATTTCATAAAAAAAAAATTTTCAGATTAAATTAAATCTTAAATCCTCAATCTAAAAATATAAATCTTCTTAAAATAAAATAAAAGAACAGAATTTTTCAGAATAATTTTTAAATTTAAAAGCTTCAATTCTACTCTTCCCATCCAAACACTCTTCCCATTTAATCCCACTTTACTGTTAATATTAATTTCTTAAGTTAAAATAAATGGGTGGATTTGATTATTTTAATTTTAAAAACGAAATAATCCGCATTTCAATAAAGGTTTTTTTTAAATCGCTCCTTTTTGTTGAAAAAAAAAAAGAAAACATGCCCATATATCCTTTAAAATATTTTTTAATTTATATTTTTAATTCTTTTGAAATTTTTGAGAGGCAGTAAGTATTTTATTTTAAATATTTAATGATGTCTGCCCTTAAAAAAATGAAATTATAAAAATAAAAAAGTGAATAAAATTTTTTGTCACTGAACTTCAACGTAACACAAAAAAGGTTTTTTTTTTTGTAGAACTTATGGAAAGGTAACGAACAAAGGGGAAAAACAATTTAATTGTTCACTTGAATTTTTTCTTTAAACTTAAAATTTCCTTTATATTAAAAATTTCAAATATTATAAAATTGTATAAATTTGTTTTTCGAACCAAATTGTCTGTCCTGCCCCGTCTGTTAAAATTTTTAAAAATTTTAGGCAATATTTGAAAATGGTTCTTTTCTAAGAATGTGTAAGCCAATTCTTTTTTCTTACAAAAGAAAAATACTGACATCCTCTGACTAATCACTCTAAGGTGATAATTTAATAATTTTTGGTAAATATTGTTTTTTAAATTGTTAAAAGTTATCTATTTTACAGGTCATTGATTACACCCAAATTTTTCCGTTTTATTTATCATTGAGCAAAGCATCAATGAAAGCTGAAATACTGTGGTTAACTTAAACGTTGGTATACACAGAACTTTATAGTGAAATTCTAACATACTAACATAAATTCTAACATAAGTCGTGTTGCCGACAAATAATATAAGAAATAATTACGTCATTATGTACGAAATTAAAAAACTCTTTTGTATCAAATACATTAATTGAAAAGAGTCTTCTAGATGCTAAAAATTAAAATTAATGTTTCCAAATAAAATTTTATAAGAATTCAGTAAAATCTCAATATATTCTAATTTGGATCTAAAAATTTTGAATAGAAGCTGTGCTTATTTGAAAATTTAAACCTATATTTCTCGAAAAACCAAATTTATTCAAGTTATAAAAAATGAATTCTATTGTAGAAATTTTCAATAGACTGGTGTACTTGTCAGATATCCAACACACTTACTCTACAATGAACCCATATAGGTAACTGCTAAAATCTTCAACATTTGAAATTCCCTAGGAAAAAGAAATTTGTGCCATAAGTAGGAAATAAATTTTTGATGAAGTAGGATATCGAAAGCTCATTTACGTTTTTGAAAGTTTTGTGTCCTCTATAATTTAAAAATAAAGTGGTAAAGAAAGTTTTTGTATCAAATTTAAATTGCATTCGAAAGTTTAACCGCCAGCTTTTACCATGGTTTGTAAACGAAAAGCACCTAAAATATTTTAACTATAATGTTTGAATTTTTACTGCGTTTATCAAAAACATTTTTTTAAAAATTTGAGATTTGTAAAATTATAAAAAGCTGTTGTGGAACTAGAAACTTTTTAGTTCGGTAATGTGATACTCGTGAAAGCTTTAATAAATTTAGGTTTGTGTTTTTAATAAATTTATATTTTAAACTTTATTCTGGTTCAATCGAAAACTGTTAAAATTAGAAAACTGTAAAAATTCAATTTTGCAGAATAATGCAGAAAAGCTTTCTTTATCTTATAGTTGATAAAGCAAAAAATAAAGGAGGTTACAAAAAATGAAATTTTGAATGAATTTTTTCTTGGAATATAAATTCACCACATTTCTTTTTCCTTATTATTATTATTAAGCATATAGGTATATATTATAAATTATATATGAATAATAAGTGTTTACATTATTATAGAACATATTTACAATATACGAGTATAAGGTTATTTTATAAAGGTGAATTTTATTTTATTTAAGTTTCTTTTTGATAATAAAATTTAGTGTCCCTATTCAACAGTGATCTGTAGAAGAAAGTTTCTTATTAAGAAAAATATCCTAAATTTGTGTACACAATTGACAAGTAGAGAACATTGTTTAGTTTTTATTTTTATTATATTTGAAATATAATAAAAATAAATAGAATTTTTATTATATTTTTATAAGTAAACAAATTTTTTAAGCTAAATATTTTAAAAAAAATTTTTGTGCAGGAATAAGTACACTGTTTTAAGCGGTTCTTCTCAAAATATTTTTATTACTTAGATTAAACAACTAAATTATGCCCATCATTCCCGTCTATTTATACATAAATTTTAGGTAATAATGTGTATGTTGGAATATATTCTGCGTATATCGTAAAATTAGTCAGAGATCATATCAAATTTATAACGAGGGAATAATCCTGCGCTTTTAAATTCACATTAAATTGGGGAATTCATATTTAAATTTCTCATTAATTGCATCATAAATTTTTAGAAATGATTAGTTTAATTTTTTGTAATAATTGTCTCTTATTAAAATACAAGTTTAATAGAAAATTTAGAATTCCACAAAAAAAATTGATTCGAACGAATTACCAATTTTGAATTTCGTTTTTTAATTGTATTGCCAAAAATATTTGCAATATACTCAAAAATTCTTATTCTAAATGGAACAGAATCTTTTCTATGAGACTCTTGCGTGTTCCCATAGTGAGTTAGTTTTAAATTTTATTAGCTTTTTTTTCAAAAAAAAAAAAAAAAAAATTTAAGTCAAATTCCAATGCCCTACATCCACATTAAAGTAAAAAAAAAAAGAAAAAATTCTACATAGTAAAAATTTTTATACCAGAAAAATA